CTTCAGCAGGAGGAGCAGCAGCAAAAGCAGCAGCAGCATGAGCAGTTGCTGTTTACGGCCATCTCCGTCTCCGGACAAACGCCCTGCATTACCTTATGCCCGGCGACGCCCATCAGCCGGGCCAGGTCGTAAAGTGCCCGCTACGAGTATTTACTCAGGGCCCAGGAGTTGAGTAATGATGACCATGATGCAGCAGAAGGAGGAGGAGGAACAGTAGGAGGAGCAGGGTTGCAGGGTCACAGGATCAGGGGGCGGACATCAAACGGAGGACCCAATATGCTCGGGGCTGACGCTTATGCAAATATGAACAACACATGCCGGAGATGCTTTCAGTTCGGAACGGGACGGGGATGCCCTTTCAAATGGCTCTTCGGGAAATCATGTTCTGGCAGCGGGTCAGGCGCAGATTACCTGATGCATTTCCCAAGGCAAGCCGAGTGGTGACTGCAAATTATATTATTATTCGAAATTCAAGGTGAGTAGCTCATCCAACTCTGCTTTCATATTATGGGTTATGTGATATCTATAAGCTTTATTACCTAGAAAATAAAATATTTGTTCTGCATTTTCCTTATTACATGGATTGAATTTGAAAATTGTATTAAATTATTCCCTGCATTCAAATTGAGATGAGTTATTGTATATTAATGAGCTACATTCCCAAGTAAATTAGGAATTTGTTCTACATTTTTTGTATTACAAATTTAATTTCATTAGATTGAATTTAAAAACCCTCTTTCGTACTCCCCTGGCAATCCAATTAGATTAATGCAGGACAATATAAACAATTATGACTCCCATGATTGTTTTTCAATGTCTGACGACACGCGTCATGTCCCTCTGTTTCCCCTGCACTGCCCCCTCGATCATAAATCAGCAATGTTGTGTGTCCAAATATGAATTTAATTAAAGGTCTCTTTATGACAACAAGCGGCGTCTGGGTCGTGTGCTCGGGTCCACTTTAAAATATTACCAATATTGTCAGCTCTCTGGTGTGACCTCCTGTCCCTTCCCCCATATTTCTCATTTCCCATTTCCCATGCATTAGGCTTATTAGAAGGACACGCGCTGGGGTTTGGTTAAGGGGCAATGTGCAGCGCATGCAACTTTCGGTTGTCAAGGTTGGTTGCCGGCTGTCACCGGAGGATGAGTCCACCAGGGTTCCCACCCCAGGACTCACTTTATTTGCCGCAAACAGTTCACGCATCAAAGGACCTGCAACGCATCCTTCAGAAAGGTGGTTGCTACCAGGGATTCCCGATTCTTTGAGCTACACTAGGGAAATCAAATATGTCTTCCAATTCATAAGTTCGAATTTCATTTTATGAAGATTTCCATAGCTCCTAGTAATATAATATTTCTCTACATGAGCTTTCAGTAAATTGGTTTTTATATTAAACAAATTTCCTTTATTATTTCCAGTGTATCTCTAGGAAGATGGCCAGACAAGTCTGGTCCAACTTCTTTTGATGATTTATTTCCTTGGGCCATAATGCCGTTACAGTTCCAGTTGATGCATGCAAATCCCGATTATGCACAGGACACGCGTCACTGGGCAATACTTGCCCTCCCCCTTTCCCCATCACCCCTCCAGTCATATGTCCTTTTTATACATATATCTCCTTCTGGGCGTCACGTGCGTCTGCGACAATATGGCAACAAACGTTTGATTGTCAGGGTTACCAATATGCGTGGTGGATTTCCTTTTTTACGCATCCCCGGAATTTACTTGCGGGGAATGCCGACTCGGCAGAGCTCCTTATATGATACTATAAATAGAAAGGACTTGCAGGCGGTTGCTATTAGATGCAAATCCGATTTTGAAGATACAATCAAACTTACAATGCTCAAACCACCTTCTGCCACCAAAAGAACTCCAGTTTCATAACTTGGCTTACAGTTAAAAAATTGGTTTCATTTGTATATCTAAAGAAAGAGTATAAGAAGCTTTGCTTGCCATTTACCAGAATTTTGTAAAAGTGTATCACAATTCACATAATATTATTTCAATTTTAATTTTTTTCAGATTTAAAAAAACAATTTCCTTAGAGTACAATTTTAGTCCAGCTTATGATATAAAAACTGAAAGTAAACCAAAGTAGTTATGAACCAGGAAACTAAAACCTGGTTATTTAAAGATCACGATCTAGTGGTGTAAAGTATCTTCTGATCGTATCTTTTTCCCCCTTAAACGGCTGACAACTCTGTTTGGTCACACCTTCGCATTGATGGCTGTCAACTCTGGACAACTAGCTATCGCCCTTTGTTTATGCAAAGCTTGAAAACGCTTGCAAATTATAAATCAAAAGTGACTTTTAATTAAAAGTTCAAACCTCTGTGGTAGAGCTGGGGTGCTGGGATGGGAAAGACCGGCTAAGATGCTGACGCCAAATGTCGTTCGTCCGCCGGCTTAATTTTGTTTTGCCAGCGCACCCTCATAAATCACAAAAAGAGCAAAAGTCAGGGGGACGAGGGTTGAAGTCGATGTCTTGGGCCCAGACTGCCAGTATATTAATTGAAGGTGCAAATGCGACGCACTCGCACCCCCGAAAACCAGAAAAACTCAGAAAACAATAAAGGATGAGGGAGCTTCATCCCAGGCCGAATGCAAAATACGCAACAGTTTCATTTTAGTTGGAGTTTTTCATGTTCGCCCAGGGAATCGTCGCCACAAAGGAGCGGAAGTCTCGATTGCAGTCGTCGGAACATAAAACCCACTTGCCCACATTTTCACCCCTCAGGGGTTGTTTTCCCAACCTCCAGCCAATTCGGTGTTGTCTTGGCAGCGTTTTGCCGTCCTTTCCACTCGGTGGTGGTGTCAAGTTCTTTTTGCGCCGTCAAGTTGAATTATCATAAGTAATAATCATAGCCCAAGTATCCAAGAAGGGCAAGGTGCATGGAATGAGTTCGGTGTTTTGTTTTTCCTGGTCCGTGGCAAGGGGTTTCCATCATTGGGGAGTTTTTTAGCGGGTCGCTCAGTTAATTGCGCGACTCTTGGGTCTTTATTGGGATTTCTGGCCAATCTGGGGTGGTTGCTTTAGGATTTTCACTGGGATTAGCGGGGAGCTCCCCCCTGATATACGATAATTAACCGGGGGTTATGAGCTGCATCTCCATAGAGACAACAAAATAAGTGATCTCGAACAAAAACATTCTCATAACACTCGGGGGAAATGTTAACCATTGACTGAAACTGACAAGTGTTGGGGGCCTAAATCGGACCACGCCCACATGCCCAAGTGGGCGGGTGGATCAAGAGGAGGGGAGGGGGGTTGGTGGATACAAGGACACTGTGAGAGTTGCCAAAGCCAAACACCACAGCAATTGAATGTCAGTCACAAAAATGCAATCACAGTTTGACACAATTTTACCGAGGCGCCACTTCAACACGTTGCAACTGCAATATCTTTACAGTTACAAAAGGCAACCCACCCAGACACACACACAAACACACAGCCACGCACGGACGACAACTGTGCAAACAACACAATGACAACTCTTTAACACAGTTAACTTGGCAGCGCTGCAGCGACAATCGATGTGAAGTCGATGCAGAGTTATCCATTTGCAACTGCCCTATAGAGTGTGGGGAGTATCTCATCGAAACAGGCAAGAGATAATGCACCATTATCGGTAGAACTTCTTGTAAATAAGTGTATTACTCCATGATAACGGAAGACATCTATGACTGGAAAAAGTTTAGTTTAAATATTATGGCCAATCTTGAAGTAAAGATAGTTTCTAGCTTGTAAGCGTTATCTGTATAAACCCTATAGTAATCAGAGAATTTAACGATCAATAAAAGAAATGGATTCTTAATTAGATTAATAAAACTATTTTATCAGGGTGAGCATTTTGACATCGGAAGCATTCAGTACTCACACCTGCTTTACGACTTAAGGGCTTATCAGCTATATGCTCTGTATTATGATTAGAAAGTTTTTCATCACTGATTAGACCAAAGGATTCGGAAAAACATATGTCGGATTGATTGCAGTGGGTTCTATATCATATATCTTATCGCACATGGAAATGGGTGCTAATTAAATACCATTTTTATAACCCGATCTATTGGGGTTGTAATGGAATTGGGAGCTGAAATTAATTAAAATATAAGCATTTTATATGGAAGCCATTATATGAGTTAAATGCATCAATCAATTTGGTCTGTGAAATTTGTTATATAGATATTTTTTTTTACTTAACCCAGGGTACTGTGAACTTCCGTATTGCCGAATAACTTTGGACTCCTTGGATGCGCGTGCTCGAGTGCATTTACCCACACTCACTCACACTGGCACCAATACAAACAGATGCCGTTTGCCATTTTTGTCTTTTTGTTGTTGTTTGATTGCGTTTTTATCTTCGTCAGTTCAGCAGTGCCAGGATCTGGAAAACAGGACGAGCTGCAAGTGCAGGGGAAGTGCAACTGCAACTCTGCTAGGAAAGGGGCTGCAGCGATATTTTACTGCGACAACATTTCATCGCAAACATTGTGCAATTTCACTTTAAGCGACAATCGAATTTCATGTGATTTTTACAAGCAGTTCGCCAAACTTTTGAGTTCGCTCCGGAGTCCGCAAAGCGACTTTGCTTTATTTTTCTGCAATGTGAATTTGTGAAATAACATTATTTGTAACTTCACATTATCATCAAAGGAAAATTCCGTTTTTCTTTTTTAGCCTTATCTAACTATCATACTATTTGTAAGCCATACTGAGTCTGATCAAGAATAAGGAAAGAATAAAAAATAATAAACAAAAAAATACTTTTTAAACCTCCTACTACCATTTATGTACAAAGGAACTCTTAGAAAAAGGATACATAACTCAATTAAAAAACGGACGTGCAAGCATCGATAAGATAGAATCCATATCAGTGATAGTGAGTCACCTCATACAACAACTATAATGCTTATTTACCACATATGTATTCATTAATAAGTCAGTCCCACTGATAAGCACGTCACTAGAGAACCAAAAGCTTCCGAGGGATTGACACGACGTTTAGTTGTCTGGAGGTTGGCACCGCGAACGGATCGAAATGCAGGCTCTAACATATGTTTCGACTATTTTGGTAGTCCTCTGCTGCTGTGGGAATCCACTGGAGGTCGTGGCCGGTCGCCTGAGGATGCCCAGTTTTCCAAAAGAACTCGAAAAGTTTAACTGCCGAAATGAGAGCTTTGGAATGCACTTTAACCTGACACGGGTGAGCTAAAGATATTGAAAGTCATTAACTATAAGGATGAACCTCATATGTAGCATAAATAGCATAGCATAAAATGCACTGCACCTTATATTTTTATTAATTTTCTAGGGGAATTACAATTTACGCTAGGGTTACTGATTAAATGAAACTTTTACAATGTGTCAATTACAATTCCCTTCATTTGTTCAGCTTTCTGGCTACTGGTATGAGGCCGGACGAGTGCCCAACGTGCAGGTTCTGGAGTGTCTGAATGTCTCGGTTCCTGCTGAGATCGATAACAACACCCTATCGCTGGATTTGAACTTCATTAACACGGTCAACAACGACTGGAGCTTCACCCAGGAAGCCGTCGATTTTCCTTGGGACGACAAGACGCAGTCCGGAGTCTTTAATCTCCAGTTCGATACGGTCACTGTGACCTACAAGCTGGTATTAACGGATTACGATAATTTCGCCTTTATCTGCGGCTACGGAAGCATCTCGCCGGTTCCCCTCTTCAAGCTCTTCACTCGGACGCGGGAGATAGACCAGACTATGATTGACTTTGTCCAGTCGTATGCCGAGAAATATGGTGTGGGTTCCCAAATCGCGTGGGAGAAACAGTCCCCGGATCAGTGCAATGGATCCAGTAATAGAACTCCCTTAACTGCTCTATTAGGCTTCATCACTTTGCTCTGGGCTCTCAGCATGGGATCTCAAATCTGCACCTAGCATTTGTTATTTACTTAGTGACTATTGAAATTTTCGCTATACGTAACTATCAGTACAAATTCTTATCAATGTTGTCTGTTTTTTGTTATTTCAAACGCAATTTGTTTTATTTGAGGTCATTAAAAAATGATTCGACAATCATGTGTTATCTTATCGGTCAACAAAAAATTAAAATAAGGTAATTAAAAATGTAATTATAGTTAAATATATGTTTAAAAACTTTTATATGCTACCCCGAGCTAAGCTATTTTTCTTCTCTTATCATTTTCCTCTGGCTTGTCAGCTTTATTTTTCATTCTCTTAGCTATTTTCAATTTCTCTCTTCGGGCTGATAAGCGATTTGTATTCCGATTAAATCATGCAAACGCATTTCAGGGAGGAGAGTTTATATTTCTATGGACTTCTCTGATGGAAAGACTGCATTGGGGGCACATGCCCCAATAAGCTCATACAAGTGCAATTACGAAGCCCGAAATTCCAAAAGAAAATACTGAAAAATATGAACGAAGCTGGAGCAGAAGAATTTTGATGGTTGTTCGATTTTCTGGGCAATTTTCATTTTCATAAACCCAATCCAGCCGAGTGGGTGGAAAATAAAGCGAATGGAAAATGCTTTAAGTCGAGATCGAAACATTGTTGGCACACTGTGGGAAATAAAATTTACTTTACTAAAAAAGTTGTTAAGTTCTCAAGTTTAGATTTCTAGAACTAATTCAAATAAATAATACAAATTAAAAGTAATAAATTTAATTAGGTAATATATAGAAAATCATATTTTTTAAAGACCAAATGGGGTTGTATTTAGGTTCCTAAACCACATTTATGTAAAAATAAAAATTTCTTCCCCTGTGCCGTTTGGCTTTCTATTGCCTCCGTTCTTGGGCGAATCAATGAAGTGCAAACCGTGGTCAAATGAGCCGGAGTTGGGAGTCCTGGAGTCCTAAAGGCATCGATAGCCGGGCACTTTCGTTGATTTGATGCGTTTGCGTGCCGCTTGCGGTGGTCGCATGCTTGACTTGAGCGCCACCCAAAGCCAACTGGCAACGAGGAGCTGCAAAGCTGTTTACTTGCAGCTAACCAAGTGAAATCGAAAGCCCTTTTGGCCCCGATAATTGTGTCCGGTCCGGACCCTCCTCCGGTTCCAAATGCTCTGGCCTGGGTAATGGGATCCTGGCTTGCTGGCCCTGAGATCGGGGTGTGTGTTCGTGCACCAGATGATTACTCTGCCCCAAAATCGACGTAATCATGCGATGACGCTGCAAAAGTATCCGTAGACTTGCCAGACGCCCCCTGCCACGCCCACAAAACATAGTGGAAGAAAAGGAAAATAAGTCGGGGGAAAAGCCAGCTGAAAACGAAAGTTAATGTGGCACATCGGTGGAAGGGTTAAACGGAGCCAACAAGTGAACCCCAACGTACGTGTTCCAATTAATTTTGACATTTGCTTCTAATAGATGTGCAACAAGGTTTCGATTTCGATTGAGTTACGCCCCAAAATTGTGTTCATAAATAAGGTTCTGCGTCTCGGAATTCGATATATGCTGGTTAGAATTCTTAATAAAAAGGGTTAACCATTTTGTTGCCTACTTTTGGGATAGAAATGAGGGGAATTTTCAAAATGGTAAAGCGAATAAATTAATAGTTAATCATTATCTTAGAAGGTTAATGCATGACGAGCTCTTTGCTCACTAAACAAAATATAAATAAAAAGCAAGTCTCATACTTTTCCATTGTTTCTTCTAATTAAAAAAAAGTAATATATATTTTTTGCAAACCTTCTGAAAGTCTGTCTTGTTAAGCTTCCCGTGGATAGTTTTCCAACCTCCACAATCCCTCACTCATTAAGATTAACCCTCGGCTGGCTCACAATTTATGCTCTGCACCACGAACTGCTCAAAAATGCAACTATTCAAAATGCAGGGGCAAAAATCTGGCCAAACTTTGCGCATTCTGCACACAATCGGAACTGAAAGGGGAAGCCAAGGACCTCCGACGAGGAGGGAGCCCGAAAAAAAAAACAAAGCCTGCTGCACAAACATGCGAAACTATTAAAAACATGTCTTTGTCCTTTGGCCCGGGGTGCATATAATGAAATTCCTAGCTGCTTTGTGCCCACGACGAAGCCACTTGGCGGGATGTCCCGATCCCTGATCCGCTCCCCTTCTATATGTATATCTTATGTGTATATACATATATCCCCCTACTCCCCGGGTTTTTTGCAGTATCAATCTAGGTGAAATATTAACAAGCGGGAGTCGGGACTAAAGTTGGCGCGACAGAAGGCCGAAGGACAGAAGGACGACGGCAAGGCAGCTCATAAAAATTCCTTAGTTGACGACAAAAGCTCAGGACTCTGGAGGAGATTGCCGAGTGTTAGAGGAGAGTGGAGCTTAAAGCGAACCAAACAGCCCTGAAACAATAGACTCGAGTTAACTTAAATTGATTCCCAGACGTTCCCAGCGAAATGAAACTCGACTCGGGCCTTGCCATTTTGTTGTGACTCCAAAGTTACTAGGATCCTCCAACCTCCTCCTCACTTTTCCGCACTCCTTGCACCTTGATTGCAAGTTATTTGCAATTTTGTGCAAATTTAAAAGCAGAAAAGGGACTAAAATGAAGGAAATCCCAGCCAGACGGGCCCCCACCCACCTTCAGTCCGGTGACTTTGGCACTGCACTTGAAAATTTTTTAAGAGTGCGCGAAATTTTTTATGCAATTTGTGCCGGAAAAGCAGGAAAATCGGGAAAAGCGATGGGGGTGTGCGAAAGATGAAAAGAAGCGGTTGGGCCATTGTTGTGCCCTGGAGATTGGCAGACTCCTCCTCCGGCTGCTCAATTTGCTGGTTTATTTCTGCATTCGGGATCGGGATATTAAAATTGACACTTCATTTGTGTCACTCAGCGAAGTTTAAAGGATTTTAAATGATTTTCAAGCTGCTGTTGCATTGTTGTCGATTGTCGTTGATTGTGCAGAGCAATTTGCATTGAAGGCATCCGGATTCTGGATTCACTGTATTCAAAGTGGAGTCGTTGTTGTGGTTGAGGATTTGACTTAAGCTGTGCTGAGTGCTCCATTCACCCAACGAGGAGTGTTTAATCGGGCAATCAAAGTGGGGTTTAATGGAATGTATCAGTGGGGGAAGGATTGGAGGGATGTTGCCGAATGTCCACTTATTGGAACTGGTATTTAGTGGGGAAATGTATTTGGCAAAGTAGTTTTTCCGCAACCTTAAATCGTTTTTAAGGGATTTCTGAATAAATATCGGATTTCTAGTCTTTCTGGCATACCGATACCAAAAATAAAGGTTTTAGAAATAATATCACATAGAATCGATATCGATGTTCTAGGACTGAATTATGGGAAATCATAACCGTTTAACTTATACTTATACGTAATGAAAATGTCTTAGAGTTCACCCACCTCACAAGATGTTGCCATACTCCTCCTTCCGCCTTTATTTACTACAATCCTCACCGTGTTTCGCAGAAAGGACCTGGCCCAGGAAGATTTCATTAAGTGCCGGCCGTGGAAGTCCTGTCGTCCGACATCCTGCAGCCCTCTAAAGTGCAACAAAGGAGCTGCAACAATGCCAGCAAAGCCAACAGCAAGGTTGCACTTGAAGTCATTCAGCCTCTCTTACTGGCAGTGCAAACTTTTTAAGTGAATTTTTGATTAGATCTGGACCAAACTTTTTTGTCGCACAGAGGGTTGGGTGGTCAAGGGGGGGGGGTAACGGTCATAGATATAGTTGCCTTTCCAACTTAAAGTCACCAGTTAGTTGCGCTCTTTTGTAATTTGCGCAGAAGTATATTTATTTGTGCGAAAGGATAATAATAAAATATGCGCTTCAGATAGTGTTGCGCCAGTGTTGCAAAGTTGTCCCTGCTCCAGTGTCCGTCCTCGTCCTTGCTGTCCCCTGGTCCTTGGCCCCCGAAGACCCGACGAAACTGTACCTACAGCAACTTTTCGCGAACAGTTCACAGTCTGTCTGCCCCCCAACTGCCTTCTATAAAACCCCCCATTGCATCGCTGAAGTTTTGCGCAAAAGTTAATAAAATTATTTGCCACAGACGTTGATAAATATGAAACAAGTCTCTGGCAAATGGCAAATAAATACAGAAACTGCAACACGAAAGGCCATGGAAAGGTAAGGGGGCCTTGTCTCTGATATGAAATATTTGGCAAAGTTTTATTGCAATTTTTGTGCAGGTCGGTTTAAGTAATTGCTGTAAGGAAGCGATGAACTTGGGAGATTGTGAAAGATAGTTTATGATTAAGGTTGAGATCTGTATTGGGAATTTATTAATATTATTGGTGTACCTTTATTGATTGGTAGAATAATAATCACTCCAAGAAATTTTTACAAATAAATCCGATACTAACACCAATAACTTCTCCATCTTCCACCCTCTAAATCAGCATCATATGAAAGCGATTTTTAAAAAATATCAAACACAAGAAATAGAGAAAAACCCTTTCCAACCCTTCTAAAATTTCCCCGGGCTCGTCCTTTTTTGCCAGCATATGCATTCCGTGTAGTTATTATTCATTGTCGTGCTTCAGCAAATATCAAATGGAGTCCGGCGAGTGGCTGCCGGGGACTCCCTTCCTATTCCGTATTCCTTATTCCCTTCCATATTCCCTATCCACCGTAGTATTTTGTTTTTCCCCGTACTTACATTTTCCACATATGACCGGGGCGGGGTGGATTGACGAGGACGGGGGTGTGGTTGCTTTATTGGCAACCCCATAACGACATTGGCAAAAAAAAGGAAATTTTTAATCGAAACATTTGTAGCGTGAAATTGTCGTTATGTTTGTGCTCCTTTTTTAAGCAGCAATATGTTAGGATTTAAATGTATTTACAGAGAAAAGTATCGAGTATTGATTGCTTTTTGCTTTACAGAAAATTTCAATAAATTTGCAACTTCCACGAGCTGCGAAATTTGCCGATGATGTGTGACATTGATACGCCAACGAAGGGCGAAAACAGTCATTAGCCGGTCATTAATCATAATTAACTGGGGTAGCTAGCAGCTCAACCCAATTTCTTTAATTTGGTAGGAAACTTTAAAGCCTAGACGCATCGGATTGC